CCTCTGCGGCGGCACCGCCCGCAGCGACCAGCTCACTCGCGCGTGCCTCGGCCGCCTCCTCGGCCCGCGCGTGGATGAGGGCGACCTGCTCGCGCCGCACCTGACCCACCGCCGCTGCTGAACCGCGGACCCACGGAAAGGGGGGGAGGGCGCTCTCGCCTCTCGCCGCACCTCCGCCGCGCGCGACGTCTCCTTTAGCGCGCCCGCCTGGGGGACGGCTCGGGCAGGGCTCGGGGACGAGGGGAGTGCACCCGAGGCGCATCATCTCCCCCCGACGCTCGAGCATCGCTGCGCCTCTGCTGCGCCTCTCCTGCGCCTCTCCTGCACCTCTCCTGCACCTCTGCTACCTCGTCCACGGCTCGGCTGCATCTCGGCTGCATCTCGGCTGCATCTCGGCTGCATCTCGCCTCGCGCCGCTCAAGCCGCGCAACGAGCGGCCGCCGCTCGCTCGACGGAGGCTCCGGCGCGCCCCGCCCCAGCGACGCGCCCCGCCCTTCGGATCGCGTCAGCTCGGAGGCGGGTAGAGGCGCGGGGGCCGCGCCAGCTGAGGCCAGCGGCAGCCGGGCCGGCGCGCCGCCCTCTCCTTCCGGCGCCACCCGCCGCACGACGAGCAGCTCGCGCACTGCGTGCCGGCCTACAGGAGGGCTCCTGGAAGGCTCCCGGAAGGCTCCCGGAAGGCTCCTGGAAGGCTCCTGGAAGGAGCAGCTCAGCTGCTGCGTGCGTGCCTCTGCCGCCAGGCACCTTAGCGTCTGGCCTGCTGGTGGGCCGGTGCGGCGCGGCACTGCTGGCCGCGCGGGCGGTGTCGCGCAGGACGGTGAGCTGCGACGTCTCAGAGAGGAGCTCGCCGTCGAGGGCGAGGACGAGGTCCCCGTCCACAAGCCGGCGCGGGTCATCCTCGCGCGAGTCGGCCACGGCATGCACCGCCGCCTGCAGCGCGTGCGAGGCAGCACCGACCCGCCAGGCCGGAGGGAGAGGGACGAGCTGCACGCGCGCTGCCGCCGCCTCGAGCGGCATCCGAACCACCTGCGGCAGTGCGAGCGGCACCCTCCCTCACGCCTCCGACGGATCGCCTCTGGTGCGGCGTGGTGTGGGGAGCACCGTGGTTGTGGCGGCAGAGGCAGGAGAACGGTCGCCGAGCAGGAGCAGCAGCACATGCGCAGCGCCCCAGCCGCCGAGAGTCGCGCCAAGGGTCTTGCCCACGAGCAGCGGAGCGAGCAGCGCGGCGGCCACGGCGTCGTCCGCGGCCGACGCCGCGCCGCTCGGCCGGAGTAGAGAGACGAGCCGGCTGCACACCGATGCGGGCAGTGGTCGGACGTCTGCAAAGGAGCGCGCGGCGCGCTCGAGCTGCGAGTGGGTGGGCGACATCTCCCCCGGCGCGGCCGCAACACTGCACGCGCGCAGCACCTCTGCCTCCTGAGGAGTGAGGATGGGCTTCCCAGGTCGAAGGAGCGCCTCTATCAGAGCGGCGGACTCTGGCACGGCCTGCCGCGGCTCCGCCAGGTCGCGCAGACAGTCCAGCCGGCCGACGCCCGCAGCCGAGACCGCGTCGAGCAATGTGTCGACGGGCTGCGCCGCAAGTGAGGAGGCGACACCGGCCGACTGTGCTCCCAACGGGTCGGTCTGGCTGGCGCCCTTCGACTGGGAGCAGCGCGCCTTCATGTATGCCATCGGCTGCCGTCGCCGCACTGGGCGTTAAACAACCGGCTGCAAGGATGGCTCTCGCTCCCGTCCTCGCCAAACAGCGCCGCGCGCGCTTCTAAGTGGAACGGCAACGCCAGGAGGGCAGTGTCAGGCAGCGTTTTGAAGAATTTAAACAAGACAACTCTCTCGTTTTGAAGAATTCGTGGCAGGAGACGGAACACGGAGGCGGCGGCGTCACAGGACGAGGCAGAAGAGAACGACGCGACAGAGGAGGAAATGACAAGGGAGAGAACGACGAGAGTGGGACGACCGCGAGGTGGCATGAAGGTTGCAGCGAGAAGCGGCGAGAGACTGCGAAGAGAGATAGGAAGAGGCAGACTCCCTAGGGTGGGCGACGGCTAGCGCACCACACACCTCTCCTTAAAATCCCTGTGTGGTGGCGGCGTGCCGTCCTCCCATCCCTCCCTTGGGTTGTCTGTTTTCTTTCTTTCTTTTTAGGAGCCGTTACGCGTTAGGCGACTAGAGACCCACACCATCGCTACATCACCACAGCCACCAAGTCGGATACAAGTCGATGACAATGTGCGCGGCAGGACAAACCAAACATGAGACGGTTACACAAGGTCGACGAAATGAATTCACGGCCGCCGCTCCCCGAGTCGTCGCTGGGTGGCGTTGTGGAGGCGTGGACCGAGCGCCGCCGCCGTCAGACACACTGCAGGAAACAACGCGTAGTGGATCGTTACAGCGAGGGCGGCTCGGCCCGCGAGCTCACCCGCCGCCGAGCTGACGCCGAGCCGGGCGATGAGCGCCGCCGTCGCCGATCTCGCCGTCCGGAGGGCGGCGAGCGTGATGAGCATCGAGGCGAGGGCGACGGCATTCTTCGCCGCCATGTACGCAAGGCCGTACTGCGAGGTCATCTGGCGCGCAGCCTGCGCGGCGGTCGCCAGCTTCGCCCGCGGCGGAGCGCTCGCGCGCGGCGGCGCGTTCGCGTGCGGAGGAGCGCCGCCAGCAGCCTGCCGGCCCTCGTCAAAGCTGCTTCCCACCGAGTGCAGCGAGGCTGCAAACTCGTCGAAACAGAGCGATACCTTGACGGCGCGGAGGGCGGGGAAGCGCCTCGTCAGCCAGGCGGCCAGGCTGGCGTCCAGCGCGAGCCGCGGTCCGCGCAGCGCCTTTGAGAGCGCCAGGGCGAGCGCAAAGTCGGCCGGCACCGCCACGCGCAGAATGGTGAGCGCGCCGAGCACCGAGAAGGTGGCTGCGACGTCAACCAGCATGTAGGCGAGCAGCGTTGACATCGCCGACGCCTCAAGCGCCACGTTGAGCGTGTTTACCCAGCGAGGGTGCAGCGTCGAGGCTGGCGCCAGGCAAGCAGCGGCGAGCGGCACCCGCGGCGGCGCTGACGCAAGAGGCAACGAGAGCCGCGGCAACGCGAGCTGGAGCAGCAACGGATGGCCTGAAACAACATGGCTGGCGAGAAGCGGCGCCAGCGTCAGCATTGTCTCTACCGGGTTCAATCTGCCGAGTCAACCCGAGAGCCCTCGGTTTACAAGCTGTTTTCGTCTTCACGCGCCTTCATCTTGACGCGCGAATGTCATGGGTAGACGCCCCGCATCGCCCTAATGATGCGCGGCATGCACACGGCGCTGGTACACTGATGCATCGTAGCTCACGCTACTTGAAATCCTGTGAAGTTCGATTTTGCCGAGCCCCGTCACGCCCCGACGAATCGCGTAGCGTGTCTATCTCGAGGCGAAGCGTGTGTGGGTTATCTCTGGCAACCCCGTATCGACACTGGACAACCGGTCGCTTCGCCAGCAGATGACGTCCACCCATGACAATTTGGGCCTGATGGTGCACAGCATGGGCGGCCGCGGCCCGCCCCTGCCAGAGGAAGAAGACTCTGAGCAAGGATAGGAAGCCCTATGCTGTCATGGTCGTCAGCGCGGGCGGAGTGTCTGCCTCGGCGCACGACCCGCGGGGCACGTGCGCGCCTCGAGAAGCTCCGCCGCCCCGCCCGGCGCTGCCCACCCGCCTGTCCTTGCTGGGGACGGGCACGTGGAACGCACGTTACATGTTCGAACGGCCTCCGGGATTCAAACAAAAAATAGCCAAGGCCCTCTCGCAACCCCTCCGACCCCCTGGGACCCGTGGGCGTCGAAGAGGCGCTCTCGGGGGGCTGTTCTGAGTTCATACTACCTCGAAGTACAATATACTGCGTCAAAGCACCGGCCCTGAGTCCGCTGGCCAGCCGGTTTGAACATACATCGCTGTCAGGAACCTCCTAAGGGCTCCAGCCCGGGCCCCGGCCCCTGGCTGACTGCCAGCACCAATGGCAATGCACCTGCCTCACAAGCAATGGGTTGCTGTCGTCGGGAACGGGCATTTCACCTTTCACGGCTTGGTTCGCACCGGGGGGCGGAGGGGTAGCTCGTCCCCGGGTGCGCCCTCACTGCCCCGGGGGTGAGGCCTCACCGCAGCCGGCGACGTCCCGGGGTGAGGTCTCGGGGTGAGTCCTGGGTGATGAGGCCGTGAGGCCGGCCCGAGGCCGGCCCGCGGCGTCCGTCCAGGGGCTAACGGGGTGGGGGTGATAATGAGCAGGCCGCGCACGCCTCCATCCATTACGCACGCCCCAAATGAAACGGGGTCTGTAGCGCAAAGAAAGGAAGACGAAAACTGACAACCCAAGCGCCAAGACGCAGCCACGCAGCCCCTAAATGGCGTCCGCCAGCATGTGGGCCTTCCTGATTTTCACGCCGCCGCTTGTGCTGCGAGCCTATCGCATGCGTCGTCCGGAGCTCTCAGTGCAAGCGGCAGCCTTCACCTCCATCCTCCCGACCACTAACCTCGACTTCCCTGATGTGCTCACCAGACCGCAGACACTCCGCGGCTGGCGTGTGTGCTGCACAGTCTGGTCAGCGGTGGCGCTCGTGGGCCATTTCATCTTGCCGCACCCAGATGGCGCCGATTTTGAGGGTATATGTCCCGCCGCATCATCTGGTCTCCTCCAGCGGCGCAGGTTAACTGCTCCGCTGTAGGCCTCCGCGCAGCGCGCTTTTTCACTGTGTGGTGCTTTTCCGGTGTCACTGCGTTCTTCGCTCTTGGCGCGGCACGGCGAATGGAGGCGGTGCAAGAGGTGACGCTCTTTTGCACGGTGGCACCGCCCTCGCTGCTGACCGCCGCCGTCTTCTGGCTCGTCATCTTCCCGTCGCTGCCACCCTACCTCCAGCGCCACGCGTTCCGGTGTGTTAGAGTCCAGACTGCTCGACATTGTTGAAGCGACGTACCACCATTGTGCTGGATGTGTGAGCAGGTTCGACGAGCTGACGATGCACGCGCTCTCCGTGCCTCTCCCGCTCGCCGACCAACGTGTAACGATATCTTCGCTTCACAGTGTCCGCGGTGAACAGGTGCCCCTCCTGATCGCTGACTGCACGTTGCTGTCTCCGAAGCAAGCCGCCGCTCCCACCGCAAACCTCTGGCTCTGGCCTGTCCTCTTCGCCGCATTCTACCTCCCCTTCCACTGGGCGTGGCTCGCTGCGGGCGGAACGCCCGTCTATGAATTTCTGCGCCCGTCACTGCCCTGGGCGGGCGCCATCCACGCGGGGCGCTAAGCCTGGGGCGGAGAGGATGGGCACATTCTCGCGGCGCGTCGCCTGGACCGCGACTTTCTCGCCACATAGGCTCCTCGCGCTCGTGGTGGGCTCCTTCCATGCCCTCCGGCTGGCGCGCATGCATGCGTGGAGGTGCGCCGCCGCTGCAACGTGCGTATCCCGGTCGCCGGGGGCGGAGCTAGTCGCCGCCAGAGGCTGCGATCGCACATCACCACAGATGTTGACGTGTCTGACAGAGGTCAGAGCAAAGACACACGCGCGGTGCGAGGAGCGAACGCCTTTATGACTGACGAGAGGAGACTCGATTGCCAAGGTGTGTTGGGCCGGGTGACCACACGCAGGTGAGAGAGAGTTGTCTGTGCTATGAGTTTCATGCTTTATTTTGCAGACCGGTGTGTTTAACCGCCGATTGATCGGTTTTTTGTTCCTAGTGGTGTCGAACATGCCGTATATCGTGGTGTGCGCGTGGTGCGGTGCGACCGCACACAGGGACTGGGACCGACCTCGAGCCGCGCGCCATAGCTTTGCGCGTGCTCGATTGGAGCGTGAGAGCGGATGAGCCACTGGGGCCTGCACAAAGGCGGCGGCGGCGGCGCCATGAGCGGCTCAAGCGCCGACCGCCTCCTGGTCCGACGACTCGTGCGCCTGGGCGAGTGTGGCGTGGATGTGCTGCCGCACGGCCGACACATCGTTCGGCAGAGGCGCGACGCGGGTGGGCTTGCCGTGCAGCGACGCGAGCGGCTCGGGCATCTCGAGCTTGGCCGCCTCCTCTGGCCCGATGGCGCGGCCCACCGCCGACGCAAACTTCGCCCAATGGGCGCAGGCGAGGGCAACCATCGGCACGCCAGCCTGGGGGGGGGAGGCGGCGGCGGCGGTCACCAGGAAGAGAACGCGGTGGCGAGGCGTGGCGTGGCGAGGGGTGGGGAGGTCAGGGGCGATGGTGGTGGTGGTGTGGGCGGTGGTGGCGTGGGCGTTGGTGGGGGTTGGGGGTTGCGGTGGGCGGTGGTGGCGAAGTTCCTCCTCGGGCGCGCGCTGCAAGTAGCGACGAGCGCCCGCCACGGCGATGGCCGAGTGCGGGTCGAGGGTATGCTCGCCTATGATTAATTAATCAATAATAACTAATCATTAATTAGGCGATGGCCGAGTGCGGGTCGAGGGTATGGTCGCCGGCCGAAGCGGTGTGCACGTCGGCGATCGTGGCGAGCACCTGCCGCGCGGCGCGACGGCTTCCTCACCAGCGGCGGCGGCAGCGGGGCCGCG